TTATTACATGAATTGGGTCTTATATCAAGGCATGAGATCTTGTCCGTCCTGTTTAGATATATTGGAGGGAGGAAAAAGCACTCGCATTGATATAGATGTTATGCACCATATGAAGATAATAGAGAAGATAGGTGATATGTTTCGTCTGTTGAGACGTACAGTTAAGGAAGATGATGAGAGTGATCATGAGGAGAGAGATGATACTAACACGGAGGAGGATATTCTATATACCACTCCTGATTTTGGTACTTTTTCTAGTGTAGGTACATCTGAAGTTCACCTATGTTTTCATGGAGCGTCCGACTTGTCCAATGAAGAGGTTCTTGTGCGTATAATGTCTAGAGTGGACATGGTTGATGCTTGTTTTCAAGGGATGGAGACCATGATTTCTGACGGCTTCCAATCCATAGAACTTATGCATGGGAGTCTCGAGTCTCGCTTGGGTACCATGGAAGGCCAATATCATGGAATCATCGGTCAACTCCAAATATTGATACAGTTGCTATAGCCATATCCACCTCCACCACTTGCGGAATGACTTGTTTTTAATTATTTTTTGTTTTTCCTGTTTTTAATAATTATGTTGGCTTGAATTCCTTTTGTCTCTTAGTTATTTTCAGACCTTGTTCTTGTTAACATTAAGTATTTTGGATATTATATGTTTGGTTTTTATTATTTCTTTTTCGTAGTTTTGATAATTTTCGGTGCTTGGCTCTTATCGTATCTTTTCCCTAGTTCTTATTGTATTTTTCAAAACAATGGTAATAATGGTTTCTTAACTCTTATATTCTTCTACCACATTCTCGATAATGTGATAAGTTTCGGGAATTGATAATGTGCTGAATTGAATTGGGAGAAAGGAAATGTTAGTCAAAATTTTTGTTTTAGCTTAATATGGTTGATATAATTATAAGCAAGATCACAAACTATCATTATTTATGAACTTGTGATATTTTGAGCTGTTTTCTACTCTAGCTATGTTATATCTTGAAAATTAAATTCTTGCTTAATATGATTCTTTGGTTTAAGCATTTGTTTTTAAGGTCATAAAGACTAATTTTTTGTGAATTTTTATGATAGAGATGTATGTTTGATCAAAACTTATTTAATCTTGCATTCCTAAAACAATTTAGAATTCCCCTTGAGGCAAAATTTTTAATGCTCACATTAGGAAGAAAAATGATTTAGGCATTATTTGTTTATAACTCATGTTTATCCTAGGCCCCCTAAGTTGAATTATGACCTTTGCAATCAATTTGAAGCCTATAACAAAATTTTTCTTGTTTACCCTTATTAAACCTAGCAATAAAACAAATTTAAGAATCCATATCCTAAGTGCAAGAATGTATAGTTGAAGGAGTTAATTTTATTAAAACATAGCAAGAGAATAGAAGGGAGAATATTTCATAATCACTAGCAAGTGAAGAAAGTAAGAAATTCAAAGAGAGACCCCACAAGAAAAGTAAGTAATCAAAATTCAAGTTTGGGAAATTTTATAGCAAGGAAGAAATTATCAAAATATAATGAAGACCTTGCCAAAGTATCTCTAATTTTGAGCTAGTGAAGAACTTCAAGCCAATCTCCCTTTACAAACAAGAACATATGTTTGAGTATAATTATAATCTGAATTTTATGCATTCTTTGTACTTTTTGTCATCTTTTATACATTTTTTTGTTAAACTAATCTCTAAACCCTAAAACTCCATTTATAAGCCTAATCAAAGACCTTTTGATTCCTTCTACGTGTGCTGCATTTAAATTGTGAAGAGGGGATGAATATTTTTGCCTATGGGAATGTTGAATCAGCATCATTTTATTTAAAAGTTAATAATATTTTGAAAAATTCATATTTATTTGTCATAATTTGAACATTTATTGGTATTAAAGATCTTGTTAACTTTTGCTTACATTAAAGGATATTTTCTGTAAAGAATTGAGTTTTTGGCTGAAATATAATTGGAGGAAACACTCGATTTATTTTCATGTTACTAAATTTTGATATTTTCTTGAATTTTTGAGTGATTATCCTAACCATATTAAGCTGGCCTTGTTAGTTTATTTAGTTTGTGTTTTTCTTTTATTTTTAGTTTTATTGTTTGAGGACAAGCAACGATTTAAATTTGGGGAATTTTAATAGTTTATTTTAATAGTTAATTTTTATAAATTTTATTTAGTTTTTATCTATTTTTGTTTTATTTCAGTCAATTTATTTATGTTTTTCAATAAAGCTTCATTGAATCACATTTCATTTGATTTTGAGTAATTTAGTAGGATCTTGATAGGAAACCAGCCAAAAATTCAGAAAAGAATGAAGTTAAGCAAAACTTTCAAAGGTGGCCATGCCCTGGGCGTGCAATCTAGCACCCCCGTGTAGAATTCAAGGAAAATACCATGGAGTCTCAAAGGCTAGCACACCCAAGCCATGCTAGAGAATATGCCCATGTTACAAGGAAGTGCTGATCCAAGAGCATGCTCACCTGAGCACAGCCTGTGCTGCATCCACCCTGAAGACTCAAAGCCTAGCACGTCTAAGCCGTGCTTGATAGCACGCCCGTGTTGATTGCCTGACTTCATATTGGGTCAAAAATGTCAACTCTAGCCCATGCCGCTTGTATGGACTTGCATAAGATGCTTTTCTGATGTGCCAATCAAGTTTAAATCCTATCAAGCTGTTGGAAGAATCCTAAATTCGAAGAAATACAATGTCTAATCAGTTTCCTACCTCAAAATGATTTCTTCCTCATTAGAGATTCTATTTCCTAATCAAATTGGGAGATTGCCCAAGGAGTCTATTTAAAGAGAGAGACTAGCTAAGTTATTTTTATCTCTTATTCTATTGTCTTCTATATAGTTTTCTCTTTCTTTAAAATTTAAAGTGCTCAAGTTTGTGGAAAGAATCAAGGAAGCCGTCCACGCTATTTGTTGGCCAGTTTTTATCTCTGAACTTTTAATCTTGTTTTTACTTTTCATAATTCGTATTGATTATGGAATTATTTTTAAGTTTAATTGAGTTTTATTTAATTACTATGTCGAACTAAACTCTCATACTTGAGATTTGATGTAGCTTAATTTTTATTCCAATTTATAATACTAGATTTACTTTTCTTTGTGCAAAGTATAATTTTTATTATTGAACTTAATGCTTTCAAGTAGAGTTTTTCTCCTAGATTGATTTATTTCATTAAGCATTATCGGAAGAAGGGTTTTTGATATGAAAAAGGTAATAAATTATATGAGAATAAGAACTTGATGCGGAAGCTATATAATTTGACTCATGGGATTTTTCATAAGTTAACGACCTTAGGTTATGAATTCTTAAACAAACAATAAAACTTAATGATTTAATTCATGTTTGATTACGCTATTGGAATATGGGTAATTAGTCTGCGTTAAAATAGCTAACAATATATCGGAAAAGCATGTTAGTGATTTTAGGGTTGTTTTTCCTACTTGAACAATTAAAAAATTGATCATCAATCTAATAAAATAAATTGGATAGAATTAAGTGAAGTCATAATCCTTAGTAGCTTTTAATCTTTCATTTTTTTTCAACAATTACTTGCTTGAGTTATTTTTCATCTCTTTATTTTATTTTTTTTATTTTTAGAATTATTCTCTTTATTATCGTTTAAATAATAGTAGGTTAACACAATTTTGATACTTGGTATACAATCCTCGTGGAATGATACTCTATTCATTATTTACTACTTGTTACGATTTCATACACTTGCAAAAAGGTCTGTCACAAAACAATGAGGTTTTTTTTTTTTAAATGCCACGATTGGTTATCTAGTACTTGCTTTAAATCTCGCCAATTGTGAAACTGAAACAAAAACACCTCTTTTCTTCGATCTCAGGCCAACATACCATGCTTTACCTTCCAAAATCTGGTCATAGTATCCACTAATGCAAATTTATTAAAAGTGCAACCAGTCCACAATTTTCTAGCCAGCATAGGTTCTCCCTAGCATTGTTCAGATCAGACAGGTCCTAAATGTCAATTGGATCATCCTCTACGGCAGTATAGTTATTGCTAGAACTCATTCTATAGCATCAAAGTGACAATCAGTTTCAACACTTGGATTATAGAAAACACAGGAATCCAAAAGATTAATACCTGAAAAAGAGAAAACAACACAATAGCGATGAGAAAAAGAAAGACAAAAAAAAATGAAAAATAGAGACACAAAAGAAAACTGAGATGGAGACAGAAAAATGAAAGAAAAAAGGAGAAGAGAAAAAGGAGGAAGGCCGATCGTAGACTTGGACAAAGACAACTCGACTCACAAAATCGAGGACAAAACTCGCGAACACAAAAAACCCTAATCGCTCAAGGAGGAAACCTTGAGACTCCAGCGTAGGATTAGGGGTGGCCATGGTTCCGGTTCCAAATTTTTTGGAACCGGAATCGAATCAAAAATTAACGGTTCTGGTTACGGTTTAGATCCAGCCAGTTCTCCAACCTGTTTTCCGACAGTTTCGGCCGGTTTCAGACCATTTTGATCGATGTCGGACTGTTTCGACCGGTTTTAGATGGAACTGGAACAGTCGGTTTCGACTGAAACTGGAACCGCCGATTCACGGTTCCAAAACTAGTGGAACTGGAATCGAACCAATTCGGACCGGTTCCAATTCCTATTCAGACCGATTTCAGTTCTTACCGGTTTCGATTGTGGTTCCTACCGGTTCGAAACCGATGGTTCTGGTTTCGAAAACCAGATTTTGGCCACCCCTACCTAGGAGAGAACTCTCCATGGATGGTTGGATACAATTTTTTTGATATATTTTTGTTAATAAAAAGTTACTATTATTATATTTATAGGTCAACCAACTAGTCCACATTTTAACTTTATTGGACCGGCCAGTAGATATCACGTCGGCTCTAGTCATGGCTATAAAAATGCTGATAAAGAAAGAAAAAGTCTAAAAAAGCAAAACCTTCACGGAATCAAACACGGCATTATATACAAAATGTCGAAATTACCCCTGCCGTGCATTAACATTTTTCCTATTAATTAATCACCAATAAAATACAGATGCGAAGCTTGTTTCTCTCTGATTTTCCTCAGAAAAAAGAAAGAGAAAGTGAAAGAAAATTTCTGCAACTCCATCCATCTATGCAACCCACACTACCCGCTTCGATTTCAAATACTGGATTATTTTGCATTCGAGAATACTTCATTAAATTTGATAGGAAAAAGAGAAATCGATCAAAAATCTTTATCATATTATGAGGTTTGATAAGCTTCGTTGTTCTTCTAATCTAAGCCGCTTCATTGCTGGCCTTCTCATTTTCATTCTCTATCATTCTTTTCAATTAATTTCCAATTTCTTAATTCCTATACACCCTTAATTCTGTTAATTCTTCTCCGTTATCACTTATCGCGCAATTGGAATTGCTTTTCTTGTTTTTTCTTCTGTCCCTTTTGAGTTGATTCGATTTCTGTGCTTTAAATGGATACAAACGTCACGTCTTCTCTTCACAATTTCCTACTCGACGGTTAGTATATTCTTCCATGGTTCCGTCTTTCTGTTTCTTTATTGTTATTGTTGATTGGACAGGAGATAGAATCCAAGAACAGTGAATTCTGGAAAATTGATATTTTTTGAACGAATTTTAGTTTTTAATATTTTATTTTAGTTTCCTTTTTGGTTTATTTTCCTTTTGTTGAAATATTATACAAGATTATTCAAACATCAAACATCACATCTTGGCTTCCCTTCCCTCACATCTTGCCAATTTGGCAAGATCTTATTGGAAAATGCATGTCATCCAAAGTTAAGCTGTTCATTGCGGCCATTCGCCTTGTCGCACCTGCCTTGATTACAGTTATTGTGCTTGGTGTTTATGGAAATAACACTGAAGTCTGTTTGTCATTGTTGTTTTACCTGTCGTTGAGAAAAGAATGTTTGTATGAAAATGCTGAATCCTTGCTGGTTTGTTTTATGTCATGGCTAGGCAATTTCGCGTCACATGTAGAGAGGCAAAACAATTCACAACCTTCTGTCATTGTGATTGGTGGTGGTATTTCAGGGGTTGCTGCTGCACGAACTCTCTATGATGCATCTTTTAAGGTCAGCATAGTGTAGCATGTAACGATTTGCAAATTCTTGAAGTATTTCTTATGTGTTTATCTGGATCCATTTTGTCTGTATGTATGCATATATTTGCTTGAAATACTGACAAATTGCTGCTTTCTTTTGAAGGTGATTTTGCTAGAATCGCGGGATAGACTTGGTGGTCGCATTCATACTGACTACTCATTTGGTTATCCAGTGGATCTGGGAGCATCGTGGTAAGTTATCTCCTTGGCCTCTGTCTCAGTTTCACTGGATCTCTTTATGTGTGCAAAAGAACATTTCCTCAATATATTGTTTTTCATATCCTATTTGTATGTCATGTATACTTCCTATGTACTATATGTACTTCTTTTCCTGCCACTATTTATGTTTCAAAATACAGTTTTTCATAAATGAGATATTCCGTCTCAAGCAGCTACTAGTTAAGCTCCCAATTCAAGTCGAGCACTGCTGTAAACATGAATGAACTTTATGTAAATTGTTTTACACTCCCCTGAATTGCATATCGCACTCAGAAATCTATCAATACAGAAAAATTTCAATGTGTTGTCTGAATAGCCTTTACTTGCACTCAGATGTCATTGATTTTCATGTTAACTCCTGCAACATTATTAAGGATAGGATATACTCAAATGAGATGAGGTAGGAGCATTATTTAACAAGAGACTTCATTCTGGTCGTCATTTGTACCCTGGAAACCTAACTGATAGTAATGCAGCCTAAAGAATTATCCAGTTCTCGTCCATGTTTCATGTTGATTCATAGTCTTTTTTCTGTTGCTTGTAATTTGCATTGGGTTTTGCATATTTATGCTTTTTGTGGATGTGACTCACCTTTTGTTTTATCTATTTGAAGTAACTTATAAATTCTATATTATGTGACTTATGGTGAATGCATTTCAGGCTACATGGAGTCTGCAATGAGAATCCTTTGGCTCCATTAATACGCTCTTTGGGGCTTACACTATACCGGACTAGTGGTGATGACTCTGTATTGTATGACCATGATCTTGAGAGGTAACATATTCACTGTTTTGGTAATGCACTTGAGAGCCTGCTCATAAAGCAGAACTTTATAATTACTTTTTCTGTTTAGTAGCTTTTTCTCATTACAGGTCTTAATGCAATTGTGCAATACCATTGTCTCCGTGATATGAGGAAATTTAGATAAGATATGAGTAAACTGAATCCTTTTGTATGAATGATTAATTGATTAAATAGAACATGTATACCTTGCAGCTTGGATCAAATTTGTATAATATAGATCATCTACACTGTACTAGTAGTTTGTTATTTATTCATTCTGAAGTTGTCTTGATGATCTGAGTTTGGTATTTCAGTTATACTCTTTTTGATAAGGATGGACATCAAATTCCACAACAGCTTGTTATAGAAGTTGGAGAAATATTCAAGAGAATTCTCAAAGAGGTATCTTTATCTTAAATTTTATTATAATTCTGCTTGCTTATGTTCCTGAAACTAAGTTCTTTTGTTAATTGCTTCAGACGGAGAGGGTAAGAGATGAACACACTCAAGACATGTCTATTCTCCAAGCAATTTGGCTTGTGTTAGACAAACATCCAGAATTAAGGTACCGGAAATAAGAAATTGAGACAAAAATTCCTGAAATTGATTTAGTTCTTAGATTTTTTTTATTTTGTGACACCTGGACTTTGGTTTCTGCAGGCAAGAAGGACTTGCGTATGAAGTGCTGCAATGGTACATTTGTAGAATGGAAGCTTGGTTTGCGGTAGATGCAGACATGATATCATTGAAAACATGGGATCAGGCAAGTGAACTATTTGGATTGCCTTGTTCAATTTTTATAACGCTATTAACTCCTCTACATAATGTGGTAAAATTAAATGTATGGAAGTAATTGTTGTAGGGCACCCTCCTTGCGTTCATCTAATTACCAATCCCAAGACATTTTTAGGGTGATTCCAGAGAACTGGAGTAGAATTGAATTATTATATTCCTACTATAAAAAAAGAATAACAGAAAACCTTATAAGAATGTTCAGAGCAGCTTTTAGGACTTTAGACATATAAATGCAACCCTTCTAACTATATATCGACTAACGATAAAAGATGTTGGTCAGAAAGTTTAAAAGGCTCCTCTCACTTAGACCACTGTTCTCATGTCAATGTTATCAATTTTTTTTTTTTTTTTTTTTTTTTTTTTTTTTTTTTTTTTTTTTTCCTCTAAGCATAATGGTGGTAAAATTAAATGGTAGTGGGAAGTAAATTGTGTAGGGCCAACCTCCTTGCGTTCATGCTAATTACCAAATCCCCAAGACATTTTTAGGGTGATTCAGAGAACTGGAGTAGAATTGAATTAATTGAAATATCTTCCTACTATAAAAAAAGAATAACAGAAACCTTATAAGAATGTTCAGAGCAGCTTTTAGGACTTTAAGACATATAAATGGCAGACCCTTCTAACTAATATATGCGACTAACGATAAAAGAGTTTGGTCAGAAGTTTAAAAGCGCTCCTCTCACTTAGACCACTGTTCTCAAATGTCATGTTTATCAAAATTTTTATTTTTTTTTTTTTTTTTTTTTTGTTTTTTTTTTTTTTTTTTTGAAATGTCTTTATCTAAACATGATCTTAGGCAAATGCTTGCACCTTTCAGCTTTATGCAGGACCCCTTAGTGGGTTTCGCTGTTAATAACTAATGCATCTTTTAGAGCCCCTAACAAAACCAGTGCTCCTCTAATGAAATTTGAAGAAAGCTGGAAGTGCAATTTAGTCATAATGACAGACTATGACTCCTTTCATGTCTATTAATTGGATGTATGTGGTTGAACTGCGCCTCATGCATGTGGAGATGTGTTAGAGTTTATTTGTGATGATTAAGGTTTTTTTTTTTTTTTTTTTTTTTTTTTTTTTTTTTTTTTTTTTGAATGTCTTATCTAACATATCTTAGGCAAATGCTTGCACCTTTCAGCTTTATGCAGGACCCCTTAGTGGGTTTCGCTGTTAATAACTATGCATCTAGAGCCCCTAACAAAACCGTCTCCTCTAAAATTTGAGAAGCTGGAGTGCAAGTCATATGACAGACTATGACTCCTTTCATGTCTATTAATTGGATATGTTTGACTTGCCTCATGCATGTGGAGATGTGTTAGATTTTGTATGATTAGGTAACAATATCAAAGAACTTCAGAAGCCACCACATTTTTTAGAAATATGATAATTTTGTGAGGGATAGATGTTATCCTTTCTGGAACTTCCCCACACCTTTGGATAATCATGGTCCCATTAGTTGCTTGCTGCCCAACCTATCTACAAATTTGAATGTTATCGCCCAAGATTGTTAAAGTTTAATGTGTTTTAATAAGGTCACTATTACCTATATTTGTAAAGATGATTCTAGATGTTTTATATTTTGGCTAATTGAGAGTATTGTCATCCATCTATGGTTATATATTAGAGTAGAATAATTTACTTAGCTGCAATTTTAACAATCCGGTTGAAATTTGATGAAAATCTAATGCTGATGTTCTTAGTGAAATAAAAAATTGAAGTCAAGTATCTTTTTTTTCTTTTCTTAGTTATAAATTGAAGTAAAGTGATTTCTTCAGAATTTTGTGATAGAATCTAGTGACTACAAATAAAATTAAGCTTCACAACTCACAAAATTAATGAATGCTAGTAATTATCTAACATCACAGAATCTTTATAACTGTTTCAAATTAAATTTCAATTTGACGCTTTTCTAGATCAAGGTCACTTTTGGGTTTATCTTATGCAAAATGCTTACATAGTTGAGGTTATTCTTGAGGTACAGGAGCGTGTTCTTTCTGGTGGTCATGGACTTATGGTACAAGGTTATGGCCCTGTGATAAAGGCTCTTGCAAAAGACATTGACATACGTTTGAATCACAGGTATGATTTCTTATTTCTTTCAAAAGTTTCTACTTTATGATACTAAGAACCAATACCTGAATCTTTAACCTATTGGACAATGAGTTCAAATTGAATCTTGCAATTTTATTAGTACTATGCTTTTAAGTTTTAAGGTGGTGAATTTCTTTAGCAACTTAGATCTGAAGTAAGTTGTTTAGAATTACATCAACTTGTAGTCCTGATCATTTGCTTTGCCTGGCACGTTCTAACAAATCAAGCCCAGCATCTTGCCCAGCTTTTCTGTGCATTTAATAAATGGGATGGGGCTTTGAGGACAATACTTTTCTATGCCCAGCCCAATTTATTGGGTGGGCCTCGCTCAGGTCGAGCTTGAGGAAAACCCTTTAATAAACTTGGTATTCTTATGGGTGTATTTCTATTTTCTATGTGTTTCTTGCTTTGTGGTCTAGCCTCCACTCCTCCATATAATAATTCCCTCCATTCAGATATGCCTCTCTCAATTTCTCTTCCTATTTCTAATTTTTTTAATTCTTGATTCTGCTCTTTTCTATCTTACTCCAATATCTTAAATGATAATTTGTCATGTTGCCAATTTTTCTTTTTCTGATTTATGTGTTCTTTTTCCATTTTTCTAATTTTTCTTTTTTTCTTAAAATTTAATTTTCAGATTTATGTGTTTATTTATTTATTTATTTTAGTGCCTCACCTCCTTCAGGCGTGTAGCTTCGCCCAGAGGCTAGCACATATGCTCCAGCAGCCTTTTGCACCTTAGTGCATTGTGCCTTTAATTGCTGTGGCAAAACTTAACTATCAAGAAATTTTGTATTTATTCATGAAATTTATTACAATGTAAAAATTTTCTGCAATTATATCAGAGTCATAAGTTTCATCCTTTTCTTAACATTGATAAGCAGGGTTGCAAAAATATGCACTGGGCCTAATAAGGTGATTGTCACAGTTGAGGATGGGAGAAACTTTATAGCTGATGCTGCTATTGTTACTGTACCCCTTGGAGTTCTTAAAGCTAATTTAATTCAGTTTGAACCTAAGTTGCCAGAGTGGAAGGTTGCTGCAATTTCAGATCTTGGTGTTGGCAGTGAAAATAAGATTGCATTACAATTTGATACGGTATTTTGGCCAAATGTGGAACTCTTGGGCGTTGTTGCATCCTCTTCTTATGCTTGTGGTTATTTTCTCAATCTTCACAAGGCAACTGGCCATCCTGTACTTGTTTATATGGCTGCTGGAAGGTTTGCATATGATCTTGAGAAGCTATCAGATGAGTCCGCTACAAATTTTGTGATGTTACAGCTGAAGAAAATGTTTCCCAATGCAACGGAGCCGGTAAATAATTTTTCCCACTTGTGTATTTGGTTTCTGAGAGAAATATATATACCTTTGGTGAGCTAGAAATATTTTTTCAATAGGGTCATTTATTTAATTTGATTTTTAATGATGTTGATTAATTAAGAACTCTAAAATTTTTCACTCAATATATACTTTTTTTTATTTCTTTTTATCAATTAACCCTATTTTATAAATATTTTTTTTAGAAGTTGAGTGGGTCAATTGACCCGACTACACTTGCTGTGGCGAGCGCCCCTGCCCAATTCTATTTCATTGGACTTAAATAGCTTTTTAGTAATATATAGTAGTTAGCTGTTTCTATCATTTGCCATCAATATTATCTTCATCTTCATAACTATTGTTATTCACTTACCTATTTTTATTTTATTTTATTTTATTTGATTCACTGTATAATCTTAGTAAACCAGTTCTAATGTTTTACATTTCTGAACTGCCATTTTGTTGCTATGCTGGAGTAGGTTCGTTATCTCGTAACACGGTGGGGAACAGACCCAAATTCACTTGGTTGTTACTGTTACGATGTGGTTGGAAAGCCGGAAGATCTCTATGAAAGGCTTCGTGCACCTTTGGGTAATCTTTTCTTTGGAGGGGAAGCTGTTAGCATGGATCACCAGGGATCTGTGCATGGAGCATACTCAGCAGGTATTATGGCTGCTGAGAATTGTCAGAGGCATGTGTTAGAGAAACTTGGTAATTCAGAGAAACTCCAACTGGTCCCTTTAAGGTGTGAAGTTCACGAAAATGCATTTCCACTCCAAATCTCTAGGATGTAATCTTACCAAAACTTGGTAAGATTACTTTTTACGTCTAAACTCTTTAAATGTTGTTGACATTTAAGTTGGCCCTGAAAGGTTCAGTATTTGTTGGTTTGATTTTAGTGGGAGTTATTTTCGTGTTATCGTATCAAGTTATTCGGCCATGTTTTCAAAAGGAGTTGGCAGGTCGGGTTTAATACAAATTTACTTAACATGCGATATGATTAGTTCAATATGAACACCACACAAAAATTACAAATTTGCTTAACATGCGATATAATTAGTCGACACAAGAATTGTGTAACCCGTTTAATTGTTTAATTAAATAAATCGTATATGGATTAAATGCTCATTTAATTTGCTCATGGTATTCATAAGTTATTTAATGCAAAATTTACCTCAATTTATACTATGTATAAATATGGAAATAGGGGAGAAATAAATTTAAAATTTAACTCAAATCTAACTATATATAAATATGGGAATATGAGATTTTCAATAGTACATTTAATGAAATTTAGAATATGCTAAAATAATTTTAATTATAGCCAATTAGAAATTTACATTTTATTGTTTGGATTGAATATAATTTATAAAAATTATTTTTTGAATAAATAAATATAGATAATTAAGGATTTTAAAATTTTAAGTTTTATGTTTTTTAAATTTATTTTTAATAAATATACATAATATGAAACATTTGAAAATTTTATATTTTATTTTTTAAATATGGGATTCTATTTTGATTATAATTTAAAATATTTTATTTGAAAGAGAAAAAAAAAGAAAAAATATATTATTTTGATTAAATTTTTTTTTTTCTCTTCTTTTTGCTGCAAGAAATAGAGAGTGCGTACGAGAAAAAAATTGGACATAGAAAAAAGGCTTTTACTGGTGTATAGAAATAAGAAAATTCTATATCAATACAGAATTTGTTTTAAACTTACGTGTGGTATGTTACCTGCCATAACAGGTTAATTTGTCAAATATGAAGTATTATTTGTTTATTAACTCCATGATTTGCTTTATAATTTTCATTTATTGATTTGACTATAATCTTCTTTTTTTTCCATTAATATCAAATATCATTAAATTACTGCCTTTCCGATTAAAGAATGAGTTGATTTGTAAATTCCAATTGGTAATTTTTTTATATAATTTATTTTTTTGTTATATATTGAATTCTAAAAATAGTTCTATTCTTAATAATATTTTTTTTATTTTCTTTTTCATTACTGAATTAATTTAGAACTACTATCACTTTAATTTAGTAACAGATTTATATCTCACTTGGATTAAATACATGACCTCTTGATGATTAAATATTTTTAATTTTCTTGATATTTTTTCTAATATATTCTAAATCTGTTTGACTTGAAAGAAAATAAACTGGAAAAAAAACTGCAACTATATATTTCTATTTTGGGCCACTTTTTGGGGTTTAAAGAATTTGTGTGTATGTAATGTTCTTTTCTCTAATGCACTGAATAAGTAATACTGTCACTATAGCTAAAGTAATTATCATTATTAATTTAGATCATCTTCTCATTTCTTTTCTTTACCTAGCAGTATTTGTATATAGAAATTGATTTGAGTTAAGGTCAAGAGATTGGAGATTGAATGATGACTTGATTTTCTTTTTAAGTACTTATTAAGGTTTTAAGAATTTACATTTATAAATTAGGGACTGAAAGATTAGGTCTAGGGATTTTGTTGAATTTTATTTTGCGACTACAGCATTATAAAAAAATAGAATTAAATATATAAGAAGTAGCATTATAATTAGCTTGTACGGCAAAGTCTAATACAAATTAAGCAATTGTATTTACTTTAATCTAAACAAATAAATTATTATTATATAGATTAAAAAAAAATTAAAAGATTACAATTATATAACGAGCATAGTCAACGTGTAAGGCACATCATAAAAAATACTAGTTTATACTAAAAGTACAAATGATAGACGGAAATTTTTTTCTTTTTTATTTTCTTATGGAAATTTTTTCATATAACTACTATACATTAAATAAATTACTAGAGAAATTTCAAATTAATGTATAAGGAAAAAAAAATATTATTTTCGAAATTAAAAATTATATTCATTTCATAACTGGTGATTCATTTATAACATGAACCTGTTTAGTCTCGATCTTAATCTATTTATTTTTTATGTTTTGAAAATCGTGTTTACATGTCATGACTCGTTTTAACACCCATAACCTTAATCATACTTTTTATAATTCATACAAACATAGTAAATTATATTTGCCTAGTTTCAAGTGGATATTTTGAGGAATCATATGCGCAAGAGTTACGAAAAATGAAGTGTACACATAGATAATCCTTTAGATATTCTACCTAAGGCTATTTCACTTAAGCATACTAATGCGTTTGGTAAGCTGTAACGGGAGGTAATAGCATGGAGAGTAGCTATGAACAGAATGTAATGAAGACAAAAGATTGATATATTAGATCTTAAGTTGGTATTGCCTCACTGAATCATTAAAAAATTCTGAGCTTTGCGTGTAATTTTAATTGCATTATAAATTTAACTTTCTCTTCTTAATATCTTAAATTTTAACTTTTGTTGTAACAACATTCTAATTTTAAATTGTACTAAATTTAGTGAATAAAATATTATTGGTGGGACCCACATTCATCACTGCTTATAAATAAATATATATTTATATAAATATTGAAATAAAAAATAATATATTAATCTTAACAATAAAATATTATTTATTTATTTATATAATATTGACAACAAATAATGATTTCTTAAAAATAAAATAACTCCATAACGAATAAAATCTATTTTTATAAGAGATTAAGTATAATTTCAACAATCCCTAGCTAAAATTTCATATATGAAAAGTGGCAAAACAAAAATCTAAACTAATATTCTCTGCTTATAACTAATTAAAATTTACTCTCTCTGGCCTATTTTGTTTGCTTGTTATTCCTTTTTTGGATGTTCTAAAATGTTTGCAAGGTTTCTAAATTTAGACATGTAAATAATTATTTTTCTCATAATAACATTTATAATTGTTTATTGAATGAAGAGCTTTTAGTATCTTAATGAGTTATTAAGAGTAAAAAAAAAGACAAAATAACTTTTGCTGACTAAATTCTTAATATGCGTGTTTTATCAAACAAAAAAATAAAATAAACTCCATAACGAATAAAATCTTATTTTTTATAAGAGATTAAAGTAATATATTTCAAACAATCCCTAAGCTAAAAGAATTTCATATAATGAAACAGTGGCAAAACAAAAATCTAAAACTAATGATTTCTCTGCTTATGAACTAATTAAATTTACTCTCTCTGGCCTATTTTTGTTTGCTTTGTTATTTCCTTTTTTGAATGTTCTAAAATGTTTTTGCAATGGGTTTTTCTAAAAATTTAGACATGTAAATAATTTAGTTTTTCCTCATAATAACATTTATAATCCTGTTTTAATTGAATGAAGAGGCTTTTTAGTAATCTTAATGATGTTCTTTTAGTATCTTAATGAGTTATTAAGAGTAAAAAAAAAGACAAAATAACTTTTGCTGACTAAATTCTTAATATGCGTGTTTTATCAAACCATGCACACAAAATGGGACGGAGGGAGTATTATTTTACTTGGTTTTTTTTATGAATTTAAATTCCTAAGTAATATTAGTTAGGGTGTTGTGAAACTGTAAGTTTTTTTGTTAAACTCACCATGAGGGAGAGTATAAGTCAGCGTGCCATTGTCTATTACATAGTTAGGGTGTTGTGAAACTGAGAGTTTTTTGTTAATCTAATCATGTGAGAGAGTATAGGTCAGTGTGCTATTGTCTATTAGATTTACTGTTTGAAATTATCATGTTATTCATTAAATTGGGTACAATGAAAAATTACAGTAGTATTATAACTAAAGTTGAAATTCAAGTTACTAGAAAAAGAAAGTAAAGTTGAAATTCAAGTTATTAGAAAAAAAAAAAGTTAAATTTAGAGTATAATTAAAGTCATCGGTAAACTTTGTGATTTGTTTAATGATTCAGGCGGTATTGCCTATTGGATTTACTGTTTCAAATAAATATAAAATAAAACTTACTAAATATATATACAATATGAAATTATGATATAAACGTTATATTAGCAAATCATATAATATGGTGAAAGAAATTAAAAAAAAAAACAACTATAAAATATAATTATACGCTCATAAATTTTAGCAAAAAGTAAAAAATTAATACCAAAATTATAAATGATGAACGATGCTCTAAAATAATGATTAACATATTAATTACTATAGCTAATATTTTTTTTTCATATTTTAGTAATATAGACAATTTATAATATTATAGTACATACACAAATTAAGTTAATTAAATTTTAAATTGATTGGTAAGTAATTTAAGTTTCATAAAAATTGATTTCCAAATTATAACAATATTTTATTATTATAATTATTTTCTTAATTTAAAAATTTTCAAATTTAATATTAATATATATATATACTAGTATATATATATATATAATATATATTATATATTATAATATATATAAATTGACAATTTTTCACAAAGTTATTTTAAATATTTGATTTTATTAGACATTTTCAAAGTTATTTTTAAATATTTGATTTTATTATTTTCTTGTAATTTAAACTATTTTATTTTAGGAGTGGTAAAGAAAAGAAAAAAAACATATTCTTTTATTTTAATATTATTTTTTCTTTATTTCTGTATGATTTAATTGAATATATTTTTTACTTGGCTTTAATCATTCTTTTTTATATATCAAAATCCAATTTTATTAAATCGTGCACTTTCTAATTGAAGAAGCCATTGTTTTTTTGATTCAATTAATAATTTTCTTACGGTAATTTGTTTCTTATTATATATTAAGTTTTGAAAATAATTTTTAATTAATTTAGGTTTGGGGAAAAGGGGTTAGGGATTGAGTGATATCATAATTTACTTTTGGACATCCATTAAAATTTCAAGAATCTGCATGTGATAAATTAGAGACTGAAATTAGATTTAGAAATTGGATTGAGTTTTATTTTGAGACCATTTTATTATATAAAATAGAATTATCATTACAAGTAGTTTTTATGGAAAAATATAACGTAAATAAATATTTTATTTAGTTTAATCTAAATAAAAACTTATGCTTTAATATTACATAAACAAAAAAAAATAAATGAGTACAAAAAATGAGTATTGTAACCGTGCACGAAGAACGAATATTGTAAACGTGCAACTTACGTTATAAAAATATAAAAGTGTGAATGGAAGGACAATGCATTGGGATTGCCAAAAACGTCCCTACAAAGTTTATGGATTGCCAAAAATATCATTAATAACTATAATTTATTAGTTGAAAAATAAAAATAATTTGATTTTGATTGATCATATTAATTTTCAAATCTAAGGTATATATTAAATATGATAAGAATATAATATTTTTTATGGTTTTAATTTTATTAGTTAAAACATAAAGATAATTCAATTTTAATTTGTTATATTAACAATATAAGGTACATATTAATATGGTAAAAATATAATATTTAGTTATTATTTTTAATAAATTTTTAATTTGATTAATTATTTCTTAAAAACAACTTATTCTATAAAGACATTTATTATTGTTCATCAAGAAATATACTATAAGATTTATTATTCGATATAAAATAAAAAATAAACTCACCAGAAATATTTATAAAATATAAAATTATGATATAACACAGTATATATTTGCAAACTCTATAACAAGTTGAAAGCATTTATTTTCTCAAAGAAAGTAACCATAAATTAATTATATGCTCGTAAACTTTAACAAAAGAAAATAAAAAGAAAAATCCAAAATCATTAATGATTCTCTAAAATAATAATTAATATAATAATTAATATATAACTGTTAACCAAAAAGAAAATAAAAGAAAAAAATCCAAATCATTAATGATTCTTCTAAAATAAATGAATTTAATATAATATTAATAATATTAATGAAATTAATATTAATTAATTATCTAATATAAGTTATCTAACCTTATAATGATTATAATATCTATAATTAATATATTAATTATTATAATAAGTATCTACCTATAATATATAATATCTATAATCTAAATTCAAAACGTAACAAATCAAGTCAAGTTAATCCTCAATTTGAGCATGTGATCTCTTATGTTCACTTTATTTTATTTATTTAATATATTTATTTAATGTTTATTTGCTTTATTATTTTATATTTTTAAATAACATTATTTTGGAAATGAATTCTTTTTTTGTTGATTTGTGTTGTTATTTTCTTAATTTGTTTGAACTTCAATGGAATAATGATAACTGCGTTAGTTATAACGAGTCTGTTCTTCACGCTTTTGTAAACAGAAAATTCATTGGAATATAATTATATATATTTTTTATTTTTAAAACTAACACAGTAGAAAATTTTATTGTTTTCGATTGATAAAATATAAAATTTAATGTTGGTTTCTCGTATTTTAGTAATAGTGATAGTTTATAATATTATATCATATACAAAAATATTAAATTAAATTGATTGATAAGTAGTTTTATTTTTATGAAAATTTGATTGTCGAATTATAATAATATTTATAAATAACAAGTTATTAAATTATTGAATTTTTAGTTTATCTATATATATATAATCCTGAAGTAAAAAAATATTCTTCAAAAACTGAGTTGGCACTCTATTCTTTGAGTATTTTCTTTTTCCTTTTTCCTTTGTTTACAATTTTTTGAGCTTTTTTTTTAACTCTTGATTTGATTAGCCACTCAAAAATTTAGAAATTAATATTAATAGTTTATAGTTTATGATAATAATCACTGTTCTGAAAATCAGACTGGACTGGCCGGTTCGACTAGGAACCAGACTGTGGTCCAGTCCGAATTGTATAGAAAAGTCGAATGTTCAAAAAAAAAGGACTGAAATGGTAAAACAGGATGAAAACGGCTAAAAATTGGTGAACCGGACCGATTAAAAATTGGTTTGATTCAATTTTTAGGTTTTCAAGAAAATGTGAGTTTTTTTTTTTTTTAAATTTGGCCCTCTTAAAAATTGAACAACTGATTTTTTAATTTTTGGGCTTCTTTATTTCTGAAGCCAAAGTCCTAATATGTTAATTAAATGAAAAATAATAATATATTTTATGGTAATTAATAATTTTTTTAGTTATAAATTTAGTCACATTTTATTTTTTTTTAAAAATTATTTACTAACTTTTTATTCTTTTTGTAAAAGTCAAATTTGAAAATATTTTTTATTTGAATTCAATTTTTTTAACCTATATTTTCAATTTTATTTAATAAATATATTTAAAAATATTATATATAAAAGTCCAATTAAACCGTATTGAACCAAGTTAAACCCTCTGATTCGGTAAACCCCTACCTTCATCGGTTCACTGACCGGCTCTCAGAACACTGATAATAACTAACACTTTTAAATGTTTTTAAATTTTCTCTTTTACTCCTCCATTTTATTTTATTTGTATAAAATACGCATATTAAGAATTTAATTTATAAAATTTATTTTATCTTATTTTATGAAGATTATAAAAATTATTATAAAAAAATAATTGTTTACGTGTCTAATTAAAAACATTTAGGAACATCCATAAGATCTTATGCGAACAAAATGGTACGGAACCATTATTTTTTTGATACCATCTTCTCGCTCAAATGCCGTCACCGCGACAATGACCGTGGACGGGAGTGAGATAGAGGTAGAAACCGCTCCTCTCGCAGTGGCAGTGAGTGTTCGTTCTTTTTGCACTGGTCACCTCTCTTAACGACTTGGTCTCTGTAATCTCAACGCCTGCTCCGCCCACTCTTGCCACGTCGGTGCCATTAAAGAGTTGGTTCTTCCGATCTGCAGTGATCTAAAAGATTACAGATTGTTTTGAAGTGTTATTCAAATTAAAGAAAAAAGTTATTCAATCGTATGCATTTCCTTTTCATGTTTTCTTTTCTTTTTTGTATTTTTTTTTTTTTTTTGCTAGAACGGAATGCATACATTACAGGGTATTTCTATAATGGTTTCTGTGACAATTATGCAGGTATTAAACCTACGAAAAGTTTGATACTTTTTTGAGTGGGAGAATGACATTTCCTTTCAAACCCAGATAATCAAGTTCCCATTTCTTTTATTTTATTTTTCTTTTGCCTTTTCGTTTTCTTTTTATTTTTTTTATCCCAAATATATCATTGTATTATTGTTTTGTTGAAGTATTTGGCATTGTGAATGCTGTATTTGACTATGGAATTGGTTTCTCCAAATTTTAGTTTATCAAGAAATTCAATCTTTTATTATGAATTTCTTTGTTTATAACTGCTTTCTTCCTCTTCCTCTCTTCTTTTTTCCATTTCATAGATCTATGCTTTGGGTGCCTTGATGATATACAAAAGAAGGTATATAGAATCTGTATTTTACTTCAAACCCAGTTAATTAAGTTGTCATATTTCTTTTATTTTCTTTTTCTTTTTGTGTTCCTATTTCCTTTTATTCTCAAACATATCATTGTATTGTTGTTTTCTTGAACGATTTGCGTTGTTAATGGTAAAGAAAAAAAAAAAAGAAAGATTTTTAGGCTTAATGCTTTTTGTTTTTATCATTCTTCATCCTTTTCAATGGGGACCTAAGAAACCTAAATAGATGGTTATTAACTTAGCAAGAAGTTTCAATTCCCTTTTGATTGGTGGAAAATCATTTTCCTTCAATCCCGGGTAATCAAGTAACCATATTTTCTTTTAATTTCTTTTTCTGCTTCTTTTTCTTTTTATTGCTCATATATCATTTTATGTATTTGTAGCATTAATTTTGAACTTGTAATAAATTGCTGTAGATGTCAATATCTTGTAATAAATAGTTCGTCCTTTACCGTTTTAACATTCAAATAGCTCATAATTCTCTATAAATTCTTTTTTTATTCTTTTTTGCATTCACAGGAAAATATTCTTTTCTTTCTAATGTACAAGAAAGCCGCTTTGTGATCTTCCTTTTTAATTCAGTGAACTTGATAAATTCTGAATTTCGTGGGAACATTATATTTTTGTTTTAAACTTTTCCAAAGTGCTCTCTCTAATTTAGCTTTTCAAGTAGTTCCTCCTTAAGTGATGTGTGTTTGTTGATTTTAGGTGAAGATTAGAGCCTGAAGAGATTTTCAACGATGATGAAGAAGCAATAACGATCCAGAGAAATGGGAGGATCTGGCTCATGAGCTTCCTACTCCACTAGAAATCGAGCAGGTGTGTATTTATTCTGTAAATTTTAAATATTGATTATTACTATTAGTGGCAAGTGATATGTCATTTTTGTGTTACTTTATCAGTAGATATAGGTTGTTAATAGATTCAATAATTAATCTATTACATCTATTATGAATATAATGGACAATTTGAATGACATTTGACTTATTGTTAGCCTTAGTTAACTATTTTGATGGCAGTTGAGATATTAAATGAAGGTAAAAGTAAGCAGTTTAGAAAAAAATTTTTGTGGTCAATTTGGGAGTAAACCTAAATTTTGTTGCTGCAATTGCTTGAGCTCTACATATATTTGATGTCTGTTTTATGTTTCTATACAGATTATGCTTGGCTTTGCTGGTTTTTTCCCCTGCTATCATCTGGTTTATGAAGTATAAAGGCATGAATTGAGTTTCTTATGATGTCTGCTCATAATGTCCAGATGGATGATGAGATTCATGTGCTGACTCTGAAGTAGAAAGATGCATCTTTTAAGGAGGAACCTGCTGACTGTAAGCATACAAAATTAATGCCTTCTGGTTATGCTAAGAGAAACCAATCTGCTCCCATGTCAGCAAATGGGGAAAAAAAAAACTAACAGTGTGCCTCAAAAGAAGGTCAAGGCAGAAATGATATGTAATTGCTCTTGATAAACCTGTAATTGTCAAAGAAGTGTGCATCAATTACTAGATGCTGTGCTAGAGCCTTTGCCCGTGCTCAGATGGAGCAATCTAACTAGGGCATTTAGATGTTCCTTTTTTCCAAGTGCAAAGTGCAACAAAGGCAAATTTGCATTTGTTGTAATTCAAACGGTACCAAATCTTCAATTTGAACTTTCTTATTTGTAGCATAATTGATCTATATTATAGTTTCTTTCCTTTATTTTTCTATATTTTGTAGAATTAATATTTATTAATAATAATTAAATTATAATTATCTCATGGTAAGATACAATGTTAAATTATTTGAATTATTAACTTGAAATAAAACCTAGACAAGATTAATTGAATATTATAATGATTTAAAAATAAATTAATGGCATTACAATTTCTATAACACTATAACTTAATAATATATTAAATACAATTCGTAAAATATATTTTTGATACGTACTTACAAATTATAAACTATTAAAATAAATTATTAAACCAATCCGCACGCGGGCCTTCACCTAGTTATTATATAAATTTTTTTCTATTTTGTAAATGCTCTTAAGTTTTAATAATATAAACTATTCATAATATGAGAATTTAAATAAAAAAATTGTATATAACTTAATGGAAAATTATATATATAAATTAAATTATATTTATTGAAACGAGTACAAATAACGTGTAACGCACGTGCGAGAAAACTAATATTACTAAAATGTGAGAAACAATTAGTAGCCATTTAATTAATATAATAATTTTTATTTTAAAACATCATTTATAATTTTGGTATTGTGTTTTACCTTTTGCTAAAATTTATGAGCATTTATGGTTTCTTATTTTGAGGGAAAAAAATTCTTCCAGTGTATTATAAAAAATTTTTATTCCTTGATAAATAATGGTAAAAATTTTATTTAATTTTTATAATTAGTTATTTTTAGAAAATAATTATAACCAATCAAATTAAAGATTTATTAAAAATAACAATTTAACATCGCATCCTTACTGTATTTAATATGTATCTTATATAGTATAATATAATCTATTTTTTATATATTAGTTATTTTGAAAGTGCATTACATATTATATGTACTTGTTGTTTATAGTTGCAAGATTTTACTTTAGTTTTTATATATAATTTTCTATTAATTTTTTATATTTTTATTTTAATGTTTTATTATAAATTATAACAATACTATGAACACTTTACATTTTTAAAAATCTAAAAGTATTCACAAAATAAAAAATAGAACATATTATGAAATGTAAAATTAGAAAATAAATTTTTTCAAAGTGATGATTAACTTGACTTAGTTTATTATAATAATTAATATATTAAGTATTATTTTAGAGCATCATTTATAAATTTGGTATTTGCTTTTTTTTTTTTTTTTTTTACTATGAACACTTTACATGGGTTTAAAATCTAAAAGTATCACAAAAATAAAAAATAGAACATATTATGAAATGTAAAATTAGAAAATAAATTTTTTCAAGTGAAGAATGATTAACCTTGACTTAGTTTATTAGTGAATAATTAATATATTAAGTATTATTTTAAGCATCATTGGTTATAAATTTGGGTATTTGCTTTTTTTTTTTTTTTTTTTTGGCTCAAAATATATGGTAGCATATAATTAATTTCATGACTGTATTACAAAAGGAAAAAACAACTTAATACATGCTAAACCCATTTTTTTTTTTTTTTTTGGCTCAAATATATGAGCATATAATTAATTTTATGACTGTATACAAAAGGAAAAAACAACTTAATACATGCTAACAAATGTAAGTGCTGAATCTTCTGGGATGTAAAATATTAAATAGGAATAACAAATTAAATGAATTTCTTCAAGATTCATTTAATTTCTTATAATGAATCTTAAAATGTAAATGATTTTGGTTCCAAAATTCAAAATTTCATGGAAAATCACTTTTTTAAGAAAATAAATTTGTAAAAAAAAAAAAAAGTTCCTAACCTATATATGCATTGTGGGTTTCCTACTTTAACCAATTAAAAAAATTTCTGAAAAAATAATTCTAAAAGATTTGAATTATCATGTTAATTTGAGTAAAAAAATATTCTAAGAAAGTAAAATCTTCGAAATAAGGAAACATATATTATTTGCCATTTTCCTCTTCAAATCCAGCTTAGGCCAGTGGATTTCGGATATATACCTTATGATTTCCACCAAAAAATATATACATATGGAAAGGAAATCATAATAGGATATTCTGATGGAAATAATATGTTAATTAATAATTCCAATTAAATACATATTTGGTTGTATTTGGATTAAAGGGAAATAAATCTGGAATTTGTTAAGGTGACATTTATTCTCGCAAAGTTTTAGAATAAAAATAAATCTCTGCAATTTAATTTTTATGAATTCAACAATGGCTAGTTATATGTCTCTGAAGTTTCTTTCTACTTATTCTATTCTTATTATCTTGAGCTTATCATGTATATCTTCAAAATGATGATAGAAAGGCAAGTAACTAAATTAGTTTACCATTTAAATGGGGAATTTTTTGTTTTTGAAAATTTGTTTTTTCTTTTCAAATTTTCTTTAATTTCTTATTCTTTTTGTAATTTTTAATGGTAATCTTGCAGCTCCAAAGTCTTTAATGTTTGATGTACATGGCATCTCTTAATTTTTTAAAATTTAGTTTTTTTCGCCTGTATATTTAAGTATAATTTTAAACTACGTTTATCTCCTAAAATTGTTTATAATCTCCTTTCTCTCTATCTAGCTATGGAGAAAATCTTCTAGTTAGAACTTACAAAAGGAGCTTCAATGGATTTGCTGCTAAACTCTCAAATGATGAGGCAGAAAAACTTGCAAGTGAGTTCTATAAAAGAACCTTCCAATATCAATTATAGCATGTGATTGTGTATACATGTGTGTGTGTGTATATATATCGGAATGATGATATTTTATATTTAATTTGATTTGATATGCAGGCAAGAAGGAAGTAGTATCGGTTTTCCCAAGTAGAACTTTCCATCTCCAAACAACAAGATCATGGGATTTCATGGGTTTCAATGAGACTGCAAAACGATATCCTCAAATTGAGAGTGATGTTATAATTGGCGTCCTTGATATTGCAATCTAGCCTGAATCAGAATGTTTCAACGATACAGGTTTTAGTTCTCCTCCTAAGAAGTGGAGAGGAAAATGTAGGGGAGCAAAAATTTCACTTGCAACAAGTATTAAATTACATATTCTCTCATCATTTACTCAAATTATAAACATTTTCAGGATAATATATAACATTTGTTGCCAATGTTACAGCAAATTAATTGGTGCCCGGTATTATAATTCAATTCGAGAGGTCACTGCAAGAGATGATGTTGGTTGGGACACATACTGCGTCGACAGCTGCAGGAAACAATGTCCAGGATGCTAGTTTCTATGGCTTGGCAGAAGGCATTGCGGGAGGAGGTGTTCCCTCAGCTAGAATAGTTGCATATAAAGTTTGTACTTCTTAAGGTTGCAATGGGGCTGACTTGTTGGCTGCATTTGACGATGCTATTGCTGATGGAGTTGATATTATTACTATCTCAATAGGAAATTCTGATCCAGTATCTTTCGACCAAATCCTATTTCGATTGGATCTTTTCATGCAGTGGAGAACAAAATAATTACATTACATTCTGCAGGTAATAGTGGCCCTGCATTACAGTCAGCAACAAGTTTAGCTCCATGGATGGTCTCAATAGCAGCAAGCAGCACAGATCGGCGAATCATCGACAAAGTTGTTCTTGGAAATGGAAAAAATTTCATTGTATGTATTTCATCTTCTCTATTCTTAGATTATTATTTTGATGCTTCATTCAACTGATGAAAAAATTTAATGCAAATAGGGAAATACAATTAACTCATTTTCTTTGAAAGGAGAAAATTTTCCTTTGATATATGGGACTAATGTATCAATTAAATGTTCAGAAGCTCTTGCAAGGTAAACTCAACTGCCTAAATCAAACTGAACCCATATTGAGAAAGCAATAAGAATAATATGATTTTGAATTGTCTTTTTTTTTTCTTTTGTTTCAGTTCTTGCGCTACCGATTGCCTTGGACAGTGATTTAGTGAAAGGGAAGATTGTGCTTTGTGATTCATATGACGGAGGGTTTGAGCCTTTAAGAGCTGGTGCTCTTGGAGCTATAGTACCCAATTCGGAATATCCAGATGTTCCTTTTGTCGTTCCATTTCCTCTAATAACCTTAACCCAACTCGATTATCTGGCTGTGAAGTCTTAATACCATTCTAGGAAGTATGATTTTATATAGAAAATATAATGTCTGAATTACGTAATGTATTTTTACGTTTCTTATATCTAATTTTTAACTTATCTTGTAGGCAGCCTGTAGGGAACATATTAAAAAGTGAAGAACTTAAGGATTCTGAGGCGCCTGTGATTGCTTCCTTCTCTTCACGAGTACCTAATCAAATTGTACCAGCTATTATGAAGGGACACATAATCTCTAATTGTTTTATATCTATGTTGCACGGAAACAGAAACAAAGAAAAGTGAGAAACGGATAGGAAAATAATTTAAACACCGAAATAAATGCTGAAACTTACGCGATTAGGAGTTTCCGTGCATCATAGTTTTGTTGTGGATCCCTCCGACATGTGGGACACACACACAAATTTGAAAAAGAAAAAAAAGAAAAAAAAAGGGGGAAAGACGTTTTTTTTTTTTTTTTTGTGCATCATAGTTTTGTTGTGGATCCCTCCGATGGATCCCTCCGACATGTGGGACACACACACAAATTTGAAAAAGAAAAAAAAGAAAAAAAAAGGGGGAAAGACGTTTTTTTTTTTTTTTTTTCAAAGAAGGCTGCACGAAGATGGATGCATTAATTGCGCGCAGTCGATGGACGCGTTGATTAACGCATCCCCTTCTCCTATAAATAGGAGAAGTTTTTCCTCAACAAATCGTACAAAACAAAATACGAAGAAGTATACACAGTTAAGTGTTGAGAAAATTTTAGAAAATGGTTCCTAAAATTGGGAAAGAGAGAAAATAGTGAGGATTATAATTTTTTTTTGGTGTTTTTGGGAAACACTTAGAGTGCTTTTTTTGGTGTTTTTGGGAAACACTTAGAGTGCCACTATTTTTGTAATCTCTTTTGTACCTACTATTTTTAATAGTGGAAGAATTATTCAGAGTTTTATTCCGTGGATGTAGCCCATAACAGTTAAAGGGTGAACCACGTACATGTCGGTGTA